AGCAGCGGGCGGGCCAGGAGAGGTCTGGCTCGCCATGTGGTCTCCTCCGGGGCAGGAGGCAGGCGGGAATCGAACTCATGCGGAAGTGGCTTTAGATTCTCAATGCTGTGCTTTAACCCGCTGCGCCACCAGGGAGGGCCCTGCTTACGTTTTTTAAAGGGGAAAAAGATAACTTTGGAAACGACCAGCTCAACTTAATTTTTAAACAATGTCTGTCTAGTCGGGAACTAGGACAAGTGAAGGAAATCATTTGGCAGTTACCTAAGAGAACAGAAGGTGTTGGGAACATTAAGCATAACTTAGAGGAACAAATCTCGGTAGACTCGTCGCGTTTTCTACTGTGATAAGTGATCGGCATATGGACCTGGGAGGAGTTTGTCACGCTGCACACACTACGCTCTCACTGGACTTCCCGGCAACGGCGTCTGCTGTCCCATGGTGATCACCAGAGCATCGTGTCTTCTGCCGCCATCTGTCCCCTCAGCAGGGGAGGGGCAGAGGGCGTCAGGAGCCGCGAGGGCGGTGGAGAGGGAGGCGAGGCCGCCGGGCTGGGTGTCTGTGAGGCCTCCTCCCTGCCAGAGGGTCGCGGCCTTTCTCCCAGCGAAGCTGGGCCGGAGTGTGGCGTCAGTGGACAGTACGTGGCCCGCTGGCCCCAGTCCTCTGTTCCTGTGGACGAGGAGCAGGTCGCTTGGCTTCGCTGAGGTTTCAGGTGTGGAGCAGGGTGAGGGCCTTGCAGGGCCCGAGGGCAGCCATGGAAGAATGACGGTCGAGAATCCGAGGACTGAGCGTCGCAGCCAGCATGGGCTGGGCGGTCGTGGGTCCCTCCCACCTGGGCCTGGGTGGCGCCATCGCCTTGAGCGCTGGGCCTGGGGTGGCGCTGCTGTCTGCTGCTGGAGATGGCCCTGTGTGGCGCGGTATCGCTGACACAGAAGGGGGGACGGGGGGCAGGGGGCCCCCAGCCAGCTGAGCCCGGTGTGGCGCCCAGTATGTATGCGCCTGTCTCTCAGCGGCGGGTCTGAGCGGGACAGAGTCAGGGTTAAACGTGGAGACTCGTGTGGCCCCGACTGCCAGCAGCTAGCAGTCTGGCAGGAGATGAAATGCGGGAGCGTCTTCCTTAATGAGAGACGAGTGTCGGAAGGAGGCAGCTCTGGAGCAAGGGCAGGGGTGTCTCTGCATCAGAAGCGCTTAAGCGGCCGAAATCATCTTCTCAGATATTTTCTCGCCAGTCTGGTCTATCTTGATTTGTTGCATAAGCAGTTGGTAGATGATAAGAAGATTAAATTTAGAGAGTACAGTCTCTTCACACTAACTAAAAATTGATGTTAATCTGACTTTTATATTTAAGGCTTTTTTAACACTGGAGTTAAACATAATAACTAAGTATAAACCTGATTGAATTAATGTTTTAAAAGATTTTGATTTCTGGGCCTCGCTGGTGGCACAGGGGTTAAGTCTCAGCCCCATCACCACTGCAGCCTGAGTTCGAGGCCCTGCAGGAAGGGACCCCAGGGCGCAGCAGACCCCGCCTGTCCCCCGTGGTCCCCTCAGCCATGGGTGTCAGTGGATCCACCTGTCCTGCTCCCCACTCTGTCTTTGGGGCGTCCTCTCAGCCCGCGCCTCTGGCCTGCACCCCATTTCTTCTGTGCTAGCTAAATAGATAAACTTTCTCTCTTTTAAAAGAGAAAAGAACTTTGATTTATGTTCACTCTAAGTGAGTCACCCAGGAAAGGCCGTGGAGTTTTGTACCAGGCTCTGACTGGTTTGTTATCAGTAATTTAGATTAAGGATCTTAGCAGTAGTCTGTAGGCACCATGTGTCAGGCACTGTGTTGGGCTCCACAAACATCTCATTTTTTTCATTCAATAACTCGAGAGAGACTTGATGATCTTCAGCATTTTTACAGTCGAAGGAACAAGGCGCATGGAGTCACACTGACTCCCCAGGCCACGTTGCGCTACGAACAAGGCGCAGAGTCACACTGACTCCCCAGGCCACATTGCGCTACCGACTGTGACTGCGCAGAGGCTGGACCCCTCCGAGAGGTCAGATGACTGCAGTCTAGAAGATGGTGCCCTGTGACCGTTGATAGGGCAATGTCAGGCGTCGGTAGCAGTGTCTGCCAAGGCAGCCTGGTCCACCGTCAAGGTGCCGAGGAGCCCAGGCCTGCGCGCCGACTACTGTCCACCTCACTCTTTGGAAACGCGGCTCTGAGGAAAACGGCTCTGCTCCCCGACAAGCTTGTGGTCTCCGCCTGCGGGCGAAATCATACCCGGGAGAGCACGTCACGTTTTCCCCTTCCTGTTTTGAGAGTTACCCCAGAGTCTGCAGAGAGTTGCCAGTGCGGATGAGAAGTCTGGAAGCTCAGAGAAAGAGCGGGTTCTGGTTAAGTGGGCAGGAAACGCCGAGCCTGAGAATTTCACCTTGACCTGTCGAGGATGGCGCCGCAGGCCGAGCAGCTCGCGTTACTGGGCTGCTGGGCCCCTGCACGTGCGCGTCCTGCGCTCGCGGGAGCCACCTCGGCGCGGGGGCCTGGCCTGCCCGCTGCACCCTGCCATGCCGCCTGCTTGCGCCGGGACAGCGCCCTCGTGGGAGCTGGGAGCGCTGCGAGTGGGGCTGGCGCATGCACACGGGGCATGTCGGACCCCACCTGAGGGCCCCCCAGCGCTGCCTGTGGACCGCTCACGGCCTCTGTCTGCACACGGGGTCCTCAGACAGAGGCGCCAAGCTTGCCCCACGGAGACAGCGCAGGAACACGGCCCCTCGAGGCGGGCAGGGCACCGACAGCTAGTCGAGTTCCCATTCTGACAGTCTCGGTGTGTTTTTCTTGATCACGAGTGAGAGCAAGCATCTGTCCACACACAGGCTAGTCATTTAAATGTCTTCTAGCGTTTGCCTGTTCGTGTCTGCTTTTTCCCTAGTGGATTGCAGTTTTTACTATTGATTTATGTTTTTGCATATATTCTGTGAATTACTCTGGGCAGTTACTGACTGAAGTTGTTTGCTTCTCACCTGTCCTTTCTCAACTCTGCCTATGGAATCTTTTCTCACCCAGCGGGGTTCCCCCCCTTTTTGTTTTAAAGATTTTATTTATTTATTCACATAGAATTGGGGTACAGGCCAGAGATGCGGAGGGTGAAAGGCTTCACCAGAGACAGAGCCAGGAGCAGAACAGCAGATCGACAAAGTACACTGCTGAGGGGAGCAGTGGGCAGGTCAGGAGAGGTCTGCCGCGC